TTTCTTCGCAAGTTGGGCATTCGGAACCCCCATGCTCCAACTTGAGGGGGGGTGTTGATGTGATCTTAGTGTATATTTCCTTTTGTACCCTTGTTTAGTTAGTTTCTTGGATAAGAAGTTTATTTCTCTTGTAACCCTAATTGACTTTATATATGTGAGGGCTGTGTATAGAGACGATCAGATTTGATGTCTCGCTCAAAATATTTCTTCTTCTTTCTGCTTTGTCACTTTCCCTCGTCAATATCCGTGCGTTGTGTAGCAATTTGTATCACCAATATTAGGATATTATCGTAAAAATAATTTATTATTTTTTGGGGATTAATGTCCTAAAGATGATACAATCGCAACATAACGTACTGTTTTTTTTAGTAATGTCCCAAAAATGATACATATTGCAGCATAACGTACTATTATTGATGAAAAGAAAGTTAGTGTTCTAAAAAATGGATTTTAGACAAGTGAACGGATCAAAATTATTTTTTTTTGTAAATATTCCGTAGAAAAATCACATTTGAGAATATCAATTTACTAACTTTCAGTGGGAAAATTCCGACAAAGACCAAAACTAAAGGGTGTTGTTATTTGTCGCCTCAAATTACTATTTGTCGCCCGAAAAAAATATTAAAAAATTATAAAATTACAAAAATATCCCTGTGTGAAAAACAAAAAAAAGTTAATGGAAAAAAATGCATTCAAACGTCTATCAACTAAGCTCGGAAGCAAAAGAAACGTCTAGAAGATAAGCTTGACAGCCAAAGAAACGTCAAACAAGGAAGACAGACTGTGAAGACAAACGTTTAAAGGCTAAGCTTAAAAGCCAAGGAAACGTCCTTATACGAAGCCCGACTCTGAAGACAAACGTCTAAATGAGAAGGGGCAACACATTTAAATCTTTTACATGGCAAGCTTATTATGCCGCTAAACGTCTAAATGGAAAGTTTGAGACCATGTGAAACATCCAGACGCTAAGCTTGTAAGGCAGGCAAACGTCCAACATGGAAGCTCCACTGTGTAAACAAACGTCCACAAGCTAAGCTTATAAGGTAGGCAAACGTCTAACATGGAAGCTTTCTTGTGAAAACAAACGTCCAGTAGCAAAGCTTGGAAGTCAAGTAAACATCTAACTGGAAAGCCCGACTCTAAAGAGAAACGTCTAAATGAGAAGGGGCAACACATTTAAAACTTTTAAATTGGAAGCTTATTATGCCGCTAACCGTCTAACAGAAAAGCTTGAGGACAAGTGAAACTTCCAAGAGTTAAGCTCTAAAGCATA